CGGCCCAAGGTGGGTGTGGGGACCGTTATCCAGGGAATTGTGGGCAATGCTACCCCAATGGCACCTCCCAGGAGCAGGGAGTTCCCCAGGTCATCCCTTCTTGGAAGTAAGGAAACCTGGGGTGTCCCTTCCTATAATTGTATCCTGGAATGTCTCTGCATCTGGTGGCAGTTTCTCTATGGAATTGAGGGCTATCCCTACTGATCCCCACGAGGGACAGGGGACTGCAGGGCCACCCCCATCCTGTTGTCCCTTCTGTTCCCACAGCCATCCAGGAATGGATGCGCTCCCGACCGCCTCCGGCTGCCCCCGCCCAGCTGCTCTCTGCCCTGGCTGATGTGGTGCTGGAGCAGATGGGAGGTTCCTCTGGAGTGGTGAGTGGGAATGGGAATGGAAATGGGAATGGGAGAACACACCTGGCTGTGTTTCCAGCATGGGATTGATGGTACTCCCAAAGCTCTACGGGCTCTTCCTGACGGCGGCTGCCCGGAGCCTGCATGGCCACAACGGTTCCCCGGCGTGGGCTGACGCCATGGACGCCGGGATTGAGGCCATGCAGAGGTCAGTGCCGGGGATGTGGAATCCCTGTGCCCCCTGGGAATCCCAGTCCCCCCTGAATTTCCCTGCGTCCCGCACAGGTACGGAGGAGCTGCGCCAGGAGACCGGACAATGGTGAGTGCTGGCAGAGCCCAGGAGTCAGGAAGGCTTCCCAGGAGGATGTCAGGGAGCTCCCACCTGGCCTCAGCCCTGGCTCCCAGACTAATTCCTATTTTTTGCAGCTGGATTCGCTGTTTGCAGCCGCGCAGGCTCTGCGTTCCCTGCGCAATCCCGGTGCCGACCCGCTCCAAGTGCTGGCGGCAGCTGTCCAGGTATGGAGAGCTGGGAGCTGGGATGGTAGGAAAATTGGATGGGAATCCCTGCTGTTACCCTGGAAAACACCCTGCTTTCCCTGGCAGAGCGCGGAGGCGGCGGCGGAGGCCACCAGGCACATGGAGGCTGGGGCGGGCAGAGCCAGCTATGTCCATTCATCCCAGCTGGGGCAGCCTGATCCCGGGGCTGTGGCAGTGGCAGCAGTGCTGGGAGCGGTGCTGCAGGGGCTGCGGGAGCCCCTGGGCACCCGCCAGTAATAACAGGGATGTGTATCCCCAAAAATCTGTGTCCCCTTGTAGTGATAAGAGACATGTATCCCAATAAACCCTTGTGTCCCAATAACCCCCTCTATTCCTTCAAGGATGTCTTTCCCAATAAATGTTAGGACGTGGCCCCCAGTAACCCTCTGTGTCCCCCATGCTAGCTTGGAGGGGTGGGATGGTGGAATCTGGGGGTGTGGAGGTGCCCTCCATTGCTCCAGGCTGGGAAGGAAGATGGGAACAGGGATCCTGTGACTGGGGGAGGAAGGAAACCCAACGTGTGGAGGGGAAACCACAGAGCTCACATGGCTCTGGGCACGGGGTCTGGGGGTGATTCTGGGAAAGTGGCAAAGGAGAAGTGGGGACAGGGCAGAGCATGATCCCAAATCCTGTGGGGTGACCACGGGGAGCTGTCCCATGTCTCCAGGGAGCCAGCAAGGACAAGCCCTTGGAAGGGACAGCTTGGCTTAGCAAGGGCCTACTCCCAAGCTCCCACCTCTCCCACTCCAGCTCCCAGGCCCTCCCTTGTCCCCAGGGATTCGAGTGCTGGAGCCCTGCAGAAGCCAATGTTTTATTCCATGTCCATGAGGTCCCTGAGGGGCTCCACCCTGAGCCGGATCCTCTGGAGTGGGAGTGATAGGGACATTCCTTTTTGTTCCAGCGAGGCTGTGGCAGCTCCAGCTGCGGCGTTGAGGGATGGCACCAGCAAGCGCTGGGGTTTGGTGTGGCCGGGGATCCAGGCAGGAGCTGGCACGTGGAGGCACACGGATACAGCTTGGGAGTGCTGGGAGATCCCTGGGATCAGCGCTCGGCAGCTAGCAGGGGCTGTGGGAGAGACAGGGATGAGCCGGGATCCCTCAAGCCTTCCCCCACTCTTGGAACTGTGCTGGGGCTTCCCAAATCCACCCAGCGTGTCCTGTACCTGCCGGGAGTCCGGGGAGTCGGAATCTGGGCGCTTCCAGCTGGGCCTGGCCAGGGCAGCCACCACCAGCACTCCAAATATGAGGATGAGGAGCCCCAGGGTGTTGGCAAACACGGCCTCAGCTGGCAGGAGCTTGTACTGCATTGTCCCATTCTTCCTGGAGCGGGGGAACAGAGGCTGGGAATGTTCTGGATGTTCCTGAAACCCCTCCCAAACCTTGCAGGGAACTGTGCAGGGAGCCACACACCTGAGGAAGTGCTCAGTTCCCTTTGCTCTGCACTGGTCACTCCCAAATCCAGCCCCAGTCCACATCCTGAGCACCCCCTATCCCTGTGAGGGATCTTCCCAAGCCACCCCCACCCCAACTCTCACAGGCTGAAGAAAAGCTTCTCGTTTATTCCTGACACGCAGGAAGCCACAGACAACAAGAGGATGGTGGAGCCGAAGAAAACGTGGATGGGCTTGTAGAGTACCCGCAGCCAGGTGGGAGCCCAGGGAAGCAGGAATGCTCCAAAACCCGCCGCCCACTGTGGGAAGAAAAGGTGAGGGTGGAAAATTCGGAATGCTGGAGGAATGGGGGGATCCAGGAGGGATTCCCACCTGGCAGGAGAAGAGCAGAACAGTTCCCAGCCCTATCCAACTGTGCAGCGAGTACATGTTGGGCGTCCCTTGGGAGTTGTGGAAGTAGAACACGGCCGACAGCCCCAGCACGGTCAGGATGAACGCTCCCAAAGCCAAGCTGCCGTGCAGCACCTTCCAGGGAAGCTTGGGGCCGCTCCACGTGTAGGGAATGCGGTAAACCAGGGCAGCTGTGAGGGGGAGAACAACGTCAGGAAGGAGCCGTGGTGGGATCCCCGCGCTCCCTTTGCTCACCTGCGCCGTAGAGCACCACCAATCCCGTCACCATCAGCACTGGGTGCCAGTTGAATGTCCGGGAGCTGCCGTCCAGGGAAAAGCCCCCGCGCCAGTGCTGGCACCAGGAGCCCACCATGGCCACGCAGAGCAGTCCCAGCGTTCCCAGGAAGGCACAGAAGGGCAGGAAGGGCACGTCCAGCATGGCCGTGGAGCGCTGGTGGTACCTGTGGGCGAGCGAGGAGCCGGCTCAGGCTCCGGATGCGGTCCCAGGGAGGAGCCACGGAAAGGGGAACTGGGAGTCCCGAAGGGCATGGGGGGGGGCAGCTGTTTGCCAGCCTGGGGAAGGTGACAGGGATGGAGCTGCTTCCCAGCCACGGATGGTCACCCAGCCGCTTCCCAGCCTGGGTATGGTGGCAGGGATGGATCCGGGATGGTGGTGCCTCAGGATGATTGAGGTGCCTTTTGGGGCTCTCCGACATCACCAGGAGGAACCATGGAAAGGGGAACTGGGAACCCTGAGGGGTGACCAGAGTCCAGCTGTGCCCTGGACTGAGAAGGAGGCCGGGGATGGAACAGGACATGCAGAGCAGGGCACGGCACCTCAGGGAATGGCAGCGAGGAGTTCCTGGTGTCAGCTGTCATGGTCCCTTCGCAGGAACCTGATCGCTCTCATTTGCATGTGATTTGCATGTGCCCCCAGAATTGGGTATTTCTGTCCCCTCTGGGGACCGGGGCTGTCCCGACACCCTCAAATCAGCTGCCTCACGGGACACAGAGGCAGGAAAGGGGTGGAGACACACGGCCCTATGGTTCCCGAAAATCTGTGATATCTCTGGGACGCAGAGACTCACGGATTTCCCAAATCTGGCATACCCGGTGCCAGGGCTCCCCGAAATCTGGGAACACGTGGCTCCACAGCCCCGCCTAAACCATAGGCTCTCCTGGACCTGGACCAAACCGCCCGGCCCTGACACAACCCAAAGCCCAGACCACGAGGTCCCTCGGCCCCTCCCAGCCGCGGAGCCGCCCACCAGCGCTCCCAGCCCCGTGGCTGTACCTGCGCCCCACCGCCCCCTCCTCCTCACTGGGCGCCGCCATCTTGGCGGGCGCCGCTCTGCCCGCTCATCTCTATGGTTTTCCCGCCCAGCCCAATGTAGCGCCACAGAGAGGCGCGGCGGCCAGAGCGGCCCCGCGGTCCTCCAGCCGCCACTTCCGCCTTCACTTCCGGCTCTGGCGGCCGTTTCCATGGGGACCAAGATGGCGGCGGCAGGTGAGCGCCCGGGGCGGGGGCACGGCGAGGACCCGGCGGCACCCCCGGCACCGGGACCTCTGCACCCAGCGGGCTTTGGGCGTGTCGGGGGGCGGACCCCGGAGCGGGGAGGGGGCCAAGAATGGGGGGAGAGGGCGGTGAGAGGGGGCGCGGGGGATCCGCGCTGGTGGCTGTGAGGAGGGGCGGAGTGACGCGGATCTGGAGGGGCAGAGAGTGATTTCTTAATCCCCATATCCAACTCTTTCCCCCCTCATGTCCATCAGTTTCTCGCTCCCATGTCCAGCCTTTCTTCCCCCGCCTTTCCAGCCACTTTCCGTCCCTTAACAGCCCATTCACCCCCGTCTGTCGCCATGTCTCCCCCTAAGGAAATTCAACCCCCAGCACAGCCCTTTTCCTGCCAGGACACGGGGGATCCCTGTCCCCTCCGTCCCTCTGCAGGCAGGATGATCCCTGAGGGGGCTGTTCCCGTGGGATATGTGTCCCACAAGGACTGTACCTGCTCCGGTGTCCAAAACTTCCCGTCTGGCTCCTCACTCCTCTCCCTGTGCCCAGAGTGGGACATGCCCAAACCTGCTTAGAACTGCCCATGGAGCTGAGAACAGCCAGAAACAACCTGCTTGGACACCGCTTCTTGGGACTGCACGTCTCCCTCATCCCTGGATTTCCTCACATGAGGATGGGGGTGGATTTCAAGGGGAAGGAATACACCAGAGGAGAGAGAGGACACAGCTCATTGGGTTTCCCTGGTTTCTGGCATCCATCCCAATCCTCGTCTTCCCCCTCCAGGTTTGGGATGTCGGGAGAAGCCCTGCTGAGCCCCCCCAGCGCCATGATCCGTTGGGAATGCTGGGGCTGAGGGCTCCAAGCCCCGGGAAGGAGGATGCTCCAGCCCAGCAACTACAGCCTGGTGCTGTTCCTGCAGTTCCTGCTGCTTTCCTACGACCTCTTTGTGAATTCCTTCTCGGAGCTGCTGCGCACGGCTCCGGCCGTGCAGCTCGTGCTCTTCATGTGAGTACGGGCAAGGCGGGGCGGCAGATCCAGGAGGCTCAGGAGCCCACGGTCCCTCTGTTCCCTCGGCAGCATCCAGGACATCGCCATCGTCTTCAACGTCATCATCGTCTTCCTCATGTTCTTCAACACCTACGTTTTCCAGGCGGGATTGGTCAACCTCCTCTTCCATAAATTCAAGGGAACCATCCTGCTCTCCGCAGCCTACCTGGCGCTCAGCATCTCCTTCCACATCTGGATTATGGTAGGGTGGCGTGGGCACAGCTGCTGGATTCTCCCAAGGGATTTTTCCATGGCCCCCAGCTTCCCACAGTCCTTTCTCACGGTCTCTCCCTGGAAGGTGTCCCATGGAAGATGTCCCATTCCATGACCCTGTGGTTGGTATCAGGCTGGAAGTGTCCTGCCCAATCCCAGCCCCATCCCAGCTCATTCCCTAAGGGCTGCGACCCATCAGAAAATCCTCTTTCCCCAGGGAAAGCCTGTACTAACAGCTCCTGGTTTTTCTGGGATCAATCCTTATACCTGGGGGCAGCCCACTCCCTTCCCACAGCTCCTGGATCTGTCCTGGCAGCACCTTCCCCTTTTCTTTCCTGAATAAACTCCTTCCTAGCTCCTTCCCAATGGAGCAGTTCCCATTCCCTGGACACTTCCTGATGTTCCCTCCATCCTGCTGCCCCGGAGCAAAGGGAATGTTCTGGGGGGTCAGGAGCCACAGCAGCTGCTCCAGTGCTGCCCACGCCGTCCAGGAAAGGGATTTGCAGGGATTTGCAGGGATCTGCAGTCTGAAGCCAGAATAGGTCCAGGCTCAATGCCTAAATCCCCTGAGCTGCTTAACCTTTAGAGTAGAGGGATTCCCAAACTTCTCCAGGTGTTACTCCTGGCTTGATGTCCCTCCATCCCGCTCAGAACCTTTGGAATGGGGTGAGGGGTCTGGGAGGGCTCAACAAAACTGCTCCAGGGGTTATTCCCAGTTTCCCGACCCCCTCAGAATCTGCGCTGGCGTGACTCCAGCCGCTTCATCTGGACTGAAGGCCTTCAGACCCTGTTCGTTTTCCAGAGGCTGGGTAAGGACTCCAGGGATCAGGGTGGGATCCCACATCCTTTGGGGGTGCTGGGGGCCCTCTCTCATCCTGAAATTCCCTGCAGCGGCCGTGCTTTACTGCTACTTCTACAAGCGGACAGCTGTGCACCTGGGAGATCCCCTCTTCTACCAGGATTCACTCTGGCTTCGCAAGGAATTTGCTCACTTCCGTGGCTGATGGATCCCCAGGATCCCCTGGACTCTCCTTGCGCTCCACAGGCTCTGCCGGGGTCGGTTCTGACTCATCCTTTCTTTAGGGAGCAGTCCTTGGGATTTTGGGAGTCAGCGGGAGACTTGTGGGGCGCCCGTGCCTGTCAGGGCCACAGCCTTGGTTGGCACTGGAATGTTTCTGGAAACCCTAAAGGAATAAATCGGATGTGTTTTCCAGAGGCTGCCGGGTGTGTGTGCCCACCCGGCGTCACGGCTGCACTCCTTACATTGAAACCCGGCTCGGCGCTGCGCTTGCGGGCGGAGACCGGGGCCATTCCCGCGTTCCGGTGTGGGATTCTGCTCCCAATGGATACGAGGGGGCGGGTTTAGGAGGGAGGGGACGCGAGCCCGCGCGGTCCTCCGAGCACCGAGAGGAGCGGGTGGAGCGGCGCGCGAACCACCGGGAGCGGCGGGGGAAGGAGCGGCCGCGCCCGCCCGCCCCGCGGCCCGCCCGCAGCGCCCCCGCGCGGCGAGCCCGGCGGCGGCGGTTCCCATGGAGATGGAAGATGGCGCCCAGGGGTGGGAGCAGGACCGGGGGGGAAACGGGGGATTACCGGGGGCTACCGGGAGGAACTCGGGCTGGGAGCAGCGCTGGGAATGGGCTAGGGGTGCGGGCAAGGCGCTGCAGGGCTCCGGGGGCCGCGCTGCCATGACCGCCCCGTGCTCCCCCCTCACGGCCGCCCTATGTCCCCTCAGGCCGCCATCGCTCCTCGGCTCCGCTGCAGGTCCTGCTCTTCCTCAACGGCTGGTACTGCGCCACGTATTTTCTCCTGGAAGCGTTCGTGTTCGTGTACAAAGGTGAGTGCTTCGCTCCAGAGCTGTTCCCCATCCCGCCGGGGTGGGCAGGAATGTGATGCTGAGGGCGGTGCTTTTCCGGCAGCGCTGCTCCTGCCCTATCCCGTCTCCAACTTGGTGCTGGACGTGGTGCTGCTCCTCCTCTACCTCGGCATTGAGGCCACACGCATCTTCTTCGGTGAGTGCCCCTGAATGCCAGAGGCTCCACAGGGAGTACAGGGTCCTGGGACACCCCCGAAGACATCCCTGGAGGTTCAGGTTGGATGGGGCATACAGCAGCCTGGGCTAGAGGAAGGTGTTCCTGCCATGAGAACGGGACATTTAATTCCCCACCCAAAACCCTCCCATGATGTCCATTATCTGATCCCAGCTCTGTGTTCCACAGGCTCCAAGGGGAACCTGTGCCAGCGGAAGGTGCCGCTGTCCCTCAGCCTGGCGCTTACAGTGCCGGCGGCTGTGCTGGCTGTGTACTACCTGCTGCTCCAGACATATTCCCTGCGCCTGGAAGCGTTCCTGAGCGCCATCCTGCTCCTCTTCTACGGCCTGGAGCTGCTCCTGGGCTTCCTGGCGCTGCTCTCCTTCTCCAGGTGCCGCATGCCGGGAACTGGGGGAGCTGGCATGGGAGCTGCCAGGTTGGTTTGGGACCCACACATCCCTGTCTCTGTCTTTTCCACAGCACGGATCCCTACTGAGGACTCGGCCCAGGAACACAGGGAAGCATCACCCGTGCCAGCTCCACTTCCCAGCCCCGGGAATGGGGAGGATCCCACCCTTCCCACTGCCCATTTCATCTGGTGCCACCTGGACACATCCCTCCCATTTTTCCTACTTCCCACTTCACCAGGGACCTGCTGCCACCTGGATTCATTCCTCCCTTTTCCCACTTCCCACTTCACTCACTCCCCCCAGGACCTATCCTTCCCACCTTTCTCACTCTCCAATCCACTTGGACTCCTCAGAGCTTGCGCCAGCTCAAGGTATGAAGAATCCTTTTTTTTTTCTACAACCTTCCAGAATAATTCACTATTTTCCAATAAATATTTATTTTTACCCGGTGCCTGGGAATGTGGGCGCCCCTGGGAATGCTCAGGTGCTCCCAGCACCTCAGAGCCAGTTTGGGAAGCACAGGAGCCCATTGGAGGAGGAAGAGGGTGAGGGACAACGGGTGCACAGACCTCCCCAAATCCCTCCCATTCCCTCATTATCCCAAATCCCACCGTAGGAAGGCAACAGGAGCGCTGTATAAAAGACTGACAACGTCATCTGAGTTTATTACACAATTCCAACCTATCCAAAGACAAATCTAATCACTGCGAGCAGGAGGGGCGGCGCCTCGCTGGGGCTTCCAGGGATTTGCTCTGCAATTTGGGGGAGAATCTTTTCCCCCCTCCACTATTTGGAAAGAAACTAAAAATCTGTGGCGGTAAGTAAAAAAAAAACCCGGAGCTCTCCTGCCAAGTGCTCCCACCTCGTGGGGCTTGGGAAAATCGGGGTGGTTTCTCCTGAATTTGGGTTATTTCAACTTAAAAAGACTTCCAGGGCCTGGGTTTTTCCATCCGAGTGTGATTCCAGCCCTGGAAATCACCCAGTGTGTCCTGGCTCATCCGACCCTCCTGGGCTCTCCCTCCCTCTCCTTCTTGGGATTCTGAGGGGACACGAGGGGGTCACAGCCTGCCCTGCCTCTTCCGCTTCCTCTAAAACAAGGAAGGCTCTGCGGGAGAGGCCGGAGCTGCCATTTGGGTGGGAATGCTGCTGTGGGGAATGTCGGGATAGACAGGATGACCCCCAACCCAGCTCCAGCCCCTTTTTCCCAGCTCCTGGAGGGTGAAGGGGCAAAGGAGGAGCGTGGCACAGTGTCCCACCAGGGTGATGGGGACGGGAGTGTCCCCAGACAATCCAGAGGATGGCACATGGCTCCTGATCCCAGGATCGGGAGCTGTGCCTCTCTAAGCCCCCAAGCTGCACAGGGAGGGCTCCGTCTCCTCCGTTCCCCCCCGGACTGGGAAGGGCTCACAAACCTCCCTCCATGGAATAAAAGCACCATTTCTCTTTGGGTCCGAGTATCCACGGAGCAGACTGGGATGGCCCCAGGAAGCAGCAGCAGTGGTGGGGGGGATTCCCAAGGCCACGAGGTGTGGGCGGGGGTCCCGCCCAGAGGGGGCTGTGGTGGCGAGGAAGGGACCGGGATGGGGCGGAGCAGCCTCGGGCACGGCATCCTGGTCGAGGTGAGGAGATATGAGTCCATTAAAAACCACTTCCTGCAAATTCCTGCTGGGAGAGAGGAGACGAATGGCGGGAGTGCCTTTCCCTCATCCTTCACGCTTCCAGGGGATTCCTGAGCTTCCCACCTGTCTCAGTGGTGCCGGTCCCTGTCTCTGTCCCTGTCCCGATGCCGCTCATGCTCCCGGCTCCGCTCCTGGAAATAATCCTCGTGCCGATCATCGCCGTGGAGCAGATCCCGGTGCCGCCGGCTGCTCTCGCGGGACCGGCTGGGAGAGCGCTCCCGAGATCGGTGTCTTTTCCTTCGCGAAAAGAGGAGACAAAACCCGAAGAGTGATTTTTTTAGTCACTTACCTGCAGGGAGGATCCCGTCCTCTGGATCCAGGGGGATACCTGGAGCTGCTGCTGGAGCTGCTGCTGTAGGATTTGGCCTCAATTCCATGCAGGCAATCCTTGAGGGAAGAGAGGAGGACGCGGCACCGCTCGTCGCTGGCCACGCGCGACTGCTTGATGACAGCGATGGCTGTGAGCAGAGTCTCGATGGCATTGCTGTAATCCCCTGGGGGAGCGGAGCAGGGGGTCAGGAGCGGGAATCCATCCCGGGATGGGGGACATGAGGGACACGGGAAGTACCTGCGCTAGCGCCGGACACCGCCTTGGAAATGGCGCTGCTGGAGATGGCGCGGTTGCGGTTCATGATCTCCTCAAACTCGCCTTCGCTCACGGCCGGGATCGGCGGGCCCAGCTCCCGGCTGTCGGCACAGCGGGAACAGGGGTTCAGCGGGATCCTCCACGAGCATCCCAACCCTATTCCCGCCCGGCTCACCTGCTGTGGTTGTAGGGAGCCATGGCCTTGCCGTAGGTGTCCGGAGGGGGTCCCAGGGCGGCGGTGGGTGGTGGGAAGAAGGCGGGATTGAGGTGCAGGGCAGGGGGCACAGCCCCTGGCGGGGGCACGGCCAGGGGCGGGGGCAGCCGGGGTGGTGGCGGCAGCAGGTGCTGGTAGGGAATTCCAGGAGGAGGAGGAGGGACTCCGAAAGCGGAGGACAGGGGAGGCGGAGGGGGCATGGGAGGGGGGGGTAGCCCCATGAGGGGCAGCGCAGGGGGGCGGCTGAAGAAGGGCAGGACCGAGGGAGGCTTCTCCATGCGGGCAGGGGGCAGCGCGTTCTCTGTCGGCGTCGCCCGGCCGTCCACTGCATCCACGGAATCCCGGGAGTGGGCCCGCGGCGGCACACCTGGAAGTGGCATGGGGAAAGGGCTGTGAGGTGCAGCTGGAGGGTGTCCGGGTCTCCGAGACCTCCTGCTCCTCCTCTTCCTCCCACCCCTGGAGGGCTGGAGGTGCCCAGAGAGAGATCCAGCCGGCCACGCATAGCCTCCACTTCCATGTGGTTTTCCAAGAGGAGCCCAGCTTTCCAGCAAGACCCCACACAGTGCCCTGAGGACAGGCAGGTCACAGGGACAGGAGCCAAAAGCCACAAGGAATGGTGAGAGATCCCCAAAGACATCCAAAGACCCGGAGAGCCTGAGATCCACACATGGATTTGGAGAGGTCCAAGCATGGAGGAGCACGAGGGGACAGAACCCAAGTGCTGACAGCAACGGAACTGCTGCTAGAGGAAGGAAAACTCAGCATTCCAAGAGGGTGAAGAAGCCTTGCTCTATCCAAAGAGGCTTTGAGGATGAGACAGAAGGGGTGTGACAGGAGCCACGGCTCCCAGTGGTGCCAAAGGGTGCACAGGAGCTCCACTCTGCCCTGGGGGCAGCCGGAACTCGGCCCAGAGAACACTCCCTGCTCCACCAAAACTGCAGGGCAAGTTGGGACACAGCCTAAGCACCAAGCAGCCGATCCCCTTGGGCACCTGAGCCAAAGGAAAGGAGCGAAGCAACTCTGCTGGGAAGGGGGAAATTTTCCTTGCACAAAACATGCCAAGGGATCTACAACGACCAGAGCTGGCCAAGACCTCCTCGGACATGCTCCTGCCAGGACAATCCCTGCGGATCCCGTCGCATCGCTGCGGAGTGAGGCCAGGACCATCTATTGCCATTGAGGGACGCCCACGGCCAGGCCCCAGCTGGAATATTCCTCCAGTGTTGGGCACCTTACCTCCGCAGGGATGGAAAAATTCTGGAGCAGATCCAGAGAGGAGCTACTAATAGATATGGAGGGTCTTAGCTATGCTGAGAGCCTGAAGAGCTTAAGCCCATTCAGTTTGGAGAGGAGGAGGAGGAGGCTACGAGGGATCTTCGCAGTGTGGGAGCACCTAAAAGGGGATCATAAAGACTCGGGTCAGGAGCTAATCCGGCTCAGGAATAGGAAAAACAACCCCCAGACGCTCCTGGCAGGGTCTCCCCCCATCCCGAGGGCTCACTGGGCTGGGCCTGGCAGCTGATCCGGGGGGGATTTGGGATGTGTGTGAGATGGAACCCCCCACCCACCTCACCGGCGCTGCACTCACGTTTGCGAGCCTGAGCCTCGAACTGCGACAGGTTTTGCCGGGTCGCCAGCCTCACCTCCACCTTGTCTCCATTCAGGATCTTTCCAGGAAGCAGCTCCAGGAGTTTATGGACTGAGTTCTCGGAGGCGACCACCACCTCCGCGTACCTGCGTGGGAGAGAGGGAGGTTGAGCCCTGAACCTGCTGCAGAGACACCCCCCAGACCCTCCTTCTGATCCCATCCTGCTGTTCCACACCCCCTCCTCACTTTTCCATGCTTTTTGGGATGCTCCAAGAATTCCCTGTGCCAGGCCGGAGAAGTGCCAGCTGCTCTCTCACCCTCCACAAAACAATGGATGTGGCAATTAGGGCCTGGCTCCCGCCATTCCCACCTGAAATTCCATTGGCTCTTACCCCTTGGATTGGCCATTGGCTCGGTTCTCCGCGAATTTCAGCTCCACCACGTCATAGACTCCAACGGAGCGGATGGTCTGGATCAGCTGCTGGTCAGTAGTCCACTGAGGGCATAGGGAACAGGCTGGTATCCATGTCTGTCCCCAGTGTCCCCCACCCACCTGATGAATGTCACCCCCAGACTTCCTCAGGGACCGTAAAATCATCCGGAACAAGCTTTAGGAATGGATAACAGTGACAAGTTCTCTGGACAAGACAGAGCCTTCCCAAAAACATTCCTGCATCCCTGAACAGGAGAAGGTGACCCAGGAGCAGCAGCCCAAAGTCACAGCTTCAAAGGGACGTCAGCAGATGCCCCAGCCCTGAAGATCCTCAGGGATACAAATTCCTGAGGATCACAAAGCCAAGCCCAGCTCGGGAGACCAGCTGAAGACTGAGGAGGAGCAGGCCCTTCAAAATCCCTGCCACTCCCCTAGAGAGCCCAGCAGCCCCTCAGAGGTTCGCCAGGAATCCCGAATTTCCCAGGACAATGAACTCACCCAGGAGAAGCTCCCGATGTAGACTGCAGCCCTCTTGTTCCGGAGCCCGCTGTAGGTGTACAGGATGGCCGGGGGTTTGCTGTTGGGCTTGGGAGACGGCTCCTGACGGATCTCCGGAGGCGCTTCCGAGCTGCTGGAACGCTTTTCCTGGGGCTGGGAGCTGGCTGCTAACACGTCGTCGTAGAGATCCATCTGGTCAGCATTACTGAACTCCGGGTCCTGCTGGGAAAACGTCATGAGATCCTGGCTTGGGAAGGGCTTGGGAAGCCTTCTTTGCTGTTTGCAAACCTGCTGTTCCAATTCCCAAGTGGAATTTCCAAGCCGAGTCCAAAGGTTTAAGGCCCAAATCACTTGGTTTGGGTCTGTGCACAGTTGGGAATTACAGCCATCCCTTGCCTGGACAATCCCAAAAAACAGGATGATGGCTCTGTTTTCATGTCCGTTTTCACTGAATCATGAAAACAGAATTTGGGGTTGGAATTGTTGGGTTTGGAATAAGAACCTTAAGGATCATCCCATCCCACCCCCTGCCATGGGACACCTTCCACTATCCCAGGTTGCTCCACGCTCTGTCCAGCCTGGCCTGGATCACTTCCAGAGATGGAGCAGCCACAGTTTCCCTAGGAAATCTATTCCAGGGCCTCACCATCGTCACAGGGAAGAAATTCTTCCCAATATCTCATCTAAACTCCCACTGAGCACCAGCACATTCCAAAGACCAGCCCGCTTGGATCCCACACAACAGGACAAGACCCTATTGCTGCCACCAGGAAGAAATTCCCAATTTGGAGGGCAAGAATTCAGTGGTGGAAAACCAAATGTCCTCCAGGGCTGAGCCTATCACTCCTTGGCAACACATTCTTCCCAAAAATCCAACTTGGGAATTGCACAACCCCCTCAAACTATGCCCAGCCCCCCAAACTTCTTTATTTTGGGGAAAAAAAGCCCTTTTTAGGGTAGGAGCTCCCACACATCGGATCTGTCCCTTTGGCAGAGGAACTCAGGAAGTTCCAGAGCTGGGAATTCCAGCGTGTCCTAGATCTGCCTCCCAATTCCCACTCTGTCCCAGGCTATATTTAATTTGGATTGTCCAGCAAGTGCTGTGTTTACTATGGATCCCAGTTCCTTGTTCAGATTGTGCCAAGTGTTTCATCCCACAAAATCACTCCATGAGGCTCCACCCCACAGGAGCTGGTGTACCATAAAAAACAGAGGTTCTGCTCCCAGATTTTCAATTCCAGGCAGTTTGGACAATATTTTCTGCTGGAGACAGTCTGAGAGTCAGGGAATTTCAAACATCCTCTTGAGAGCTGGACAGAGAAGGATGCTCAGCACGCAGCTTTCCAAGGATTGTGGAAACCCAGGAATGAAAAATCCAACCATTTTCCCTCTCCCTGAACTTTTGCATCCAGTTCTTTCCCTGGAGCTGATAAAAGAATGATTTGAAAAGGGAGCTGTAGTTTTGTGTTCATTTCCCAAAAAAGCTCAAGTGTTTGGTTAATCCAGCTCCCACACTCCCACCTCCACCAGGAGCCTCTGGACACAGCCCAAGGCTGGAAGATTCCCGCCTGGAAGTTTCAGAAAGTCAAGACCAAAAATAGGAAGGAGGGCCTAGAGAAAGAATCCCTTGGAATCCCTCAGTTCTGCTACTTTTATGGGATTCAGCTTGGGAGATTTTACGGATTCTCCTGCTCCCCATCCATGCACACTGAGTTGAAGTGCACAGGGATGAAGCTGGGCACTGTTAGTGGGAATCACCACGTGGAAATGTGGGATTTGGAATTACACTGGCATCCCTGGAGTGCCCCAGGGACATCACAGCACTTCCCTGCTGCTTTGATCCTGGCATGGATTAATTCCAAGTGTTCTCCTGCCACACATCCCAAAAGGAGGAACATGCCAGAGTCATTGGCCTGGATCATCATTCCAGCTTTGAGGATCCTCTGTCCACTTGGTCTTTGCAGGAGATTCCATGGGATATTCTCACCCAACAACCAGAAGAAGCTTCTCTTGATCACTCCAGGAGTTCACAGGAATTCCTTTCTCCATGGTGATTCCTTCTTCCGGGTGCTTTGCTTCCAGTTTCCATGACTTCTCCTCTTGCCTCCACAGCTTTCCATGGCAGTTTTGAATTTTCCAACATCTGCCTTCGCACTTGCTTTCCATAACCATGAACTCCCTAAAATCTGCTTCTCCAACACCCCCTTCCTTCATCATTTCCTCCCGTGAATCCCAGATATTCCTGGGATGGGACAAGCAGCACAGGAACAGCGAGCTCCTGCAAAGATTCCCAGCCTATGTGATCCCATGGATTTGGCTCCTGGTATCCCCTCACAGCAAAATTCCCTAGAAGTGCCTCTTCCAGCTGGGATTTCTCATTTTTTCCAACCAGGACACAGCTAAGCTCTTAAATCCTAAACATTCCGTGTGACAACCCACAGGGAAACCCTTTAATCACAGCTGGAGGTGGCAGCCACGGAGACTTGGGAATGATTGGGAATGATCCTTCCCTTTTCCCAGCCACACCAGTTGCATCTTCCACCGGGATGAGCTGCAGGACACTGGGATCTCTTCCCGAAAGAAATGGGGGGATCTGCCCCCCCATCCCAGCCCTCACCTGGGTGAACTCCTCGTCGGCGTAGATGTCAATCAGATCCACTCCCTCGGACATATTTCCAGAGGCGGGAAAAGCGGGAGCCCGGGCTGGGACCGGGCGGAGCCAGGACACGGAAGGTGCTCTGGGGAGGGGAAGGGGGCAGGGGGTCACTGAGGCCTTGGGGACCCGCTGGGGGCGTCCCCCCAAATCCCTGTGTGCCCCAAATCCCATTTCTCTACCCCAGTCCCTGTGTCCCCCTAAATCCCCTCTTCCCTCCAAATCCCTTCTACCCCCTAAATCCGCTCTGCCTCGCAAATCCCCTCTTCCCCCTAAATCCCCGTGTCCCCCCAAATCTCATTTCCCTCCAAATCCCGTGTCCCCCCAGATCCTTCTGTCCCTGCATATCCTGTCTCCCCCCCAAATTCCTGATTCTCCCCAAATTCCCTGTGCCCCCCACGATCCCCCACTGCCCCCCCCCCTTTTCGCGCCGCCCCGTCCCCGCCATATGCGGCCCTGCGGAGCGGCAGGGCCCGGGCAGGGGGGTTTGTGGGCAGGGGGGATGTGAGGGGAGGGGGCGGCGGGTCGCGATATGTCGCGATAGGTCGCGCCCCCCGCCCCGGGCCCCCCCCTCCCCCCGGTCCCAGCCCCGCGCGCGCCGCCCGCGCTCACCGCCAGCGCCGCCGCGCCCACTTCCGGGCGGGGCCACGCCCACTTCCGGCACGCCCCGCCCCATAAGCCGGGAGGGGGCGTGGCCACGGCGGCGCGCGGCAAGATGGCGGCGGCCAGGGTGGGGAGGGGGGGGGAAGGGGGGAAAGCTGTGAGGGCTGAGGGAAGGGAGAGGGGTACAAAGGGAGAGAGCGGAAAAAACAGGTTAAAATGGGAGGAAAAGGGTAAATAGGGGGTAGAAGGTGAAGGAGAGGGGAAAAGCGTTGGGAAAGGGGGAAAAGAAAGGGGAAATGGGAAAAGGAAAAAAGGGAGGGAAAGGGGGGAAAAGGGGAGAGAGGGGAAAGGAAAAGTAGGGGAAAGGGATGAGTTTGGGAGAAGGGCAGGACGGGAGGAAAATTAGCGTATTGTGGGAAGAGGGGAGAAAAAAAGGAGAAGAGTCTGAGGAGACAGAAGGGGATTTTGGGGGAAAAAGGGAGGTCTGGGGGATTTATGGGGTCTGGGCAGCGGGGTTTTGACGGGTGGGATTGGGAATCGTGTTCAGCAGGATTTGGAGAGGTCCCTGTGTGTAGGCACACCCAGCCCTGGTATCCCTGTGCTTTTCCCTGTTCCCTCCAGCTCTGCTCCCTGCGCCGGCATCTCCTGTGGCCGCTGATCCCGCAGCGCGGCTACCGGGGGGATTCCCCCACGGATTCCGGGAAGGACGTGCTGGAGATCCCGCTGCCCCCCTGGCAGGAGCGTCCGGACGAGCCAGTGGACACCAAGAGAGCACGGCTGCTGTACGAGAGCAGGAAAAGGGGCATGCTGGAAAACTGCATCCTGCTCAGGTGGGCTTGGCTCTGAGTATTCCAGGTCCTTTCATTAACAGGGAAGAGTTCATTGTAGTACTGCAAAAATCCTTGGGATAAATTGCTCCAAGATCTTGCTGGTCCAGGATGCAATGATAGAGTAGAGCTGGGAGAGCTCAGTGAGCCAAAATCCTTTGGGAAGGATGTATATAAATCCTGGGACATGTGAGTGCAAGGCCAGTTGAATTTTGGGATTGAAGGAGAGATTAGACACATAGAATTATGGAATTCTGGAATGATTTGAGTGGGAAAGGACCTCAAGGACACCTTACACTATCCCTGGTTGCTGTCCAACCTGGTTTGGACACTTGCAGGGTAGGCAACACACTTCCAGGTAGCAACAGATTCTCTGGGAAGTCCATTCCAGGGCCTTGCCACCCTCTCAAGGAAAGAATCTCTTCCCAATATCTCATGTGAACTAGCCCATGGAATCCTGGAATGGTTTGGGATGGAAGGGACTTAAGGATCATCCAGTTTCACCCCCTGCCATGGGCAGGGACATCTTCCACCAGAGCAGGCTGGCTAAGGGGATTCCAGGGGTGGAGATTCCACAGCTCCTCTGACGGTGTTTTCCCACCTGCTGAGGTGAGGGAGAGCAGGCTGGGGGTCTGTGTTTTCCAGGTCCTTATATCCCAGCTCTTCCTTCATCTCCCGCTCACCCTGATCCACCCCTCTCCAGCCTCTTTGCCAAGGAAAACCTGGCGCACATGAGCGAGGAGCAGCTGAACCGCTACGACCGCCTCATCAACGAGCCCAGTAACGACTGGGACATTTATTACTGGGCCACTGGTACGTGTGGCCACGCCCTGGGACACCGGCATGGCGCCGTGGGACAGCAGACAGCTGATTTTTCCCTGTTTCCCCTCCAGAAGCGAAGCCCACACCGACGGAGTTCGACACGGACGTGATGGCCATGCTGAGGGAATTTGCCAAAAACAGGAACAGGGAGCAGAGGCTCCGGCAGCCGGACCTGGAATATCTGTTTGAGCCACCACGCTGAGGGAGGGGATGCCTCTGTCCCCGTTCCCTGGAGTAGCACAGGGACATGGGGCTCTGGACTGGCGTTTCCACCTTCCCTGAGATTTTCCTCCTCTCCCAGCAGCCTTTGGACACTCGTGGAATGCTGAATAAAGCCCTGGCTACCGGCTTTGCCTGGCTGCTGGCCCTGCCCCTCTCCTGCTTTGTGACATTGGGGTCAGGCCCTCGGGGACATTCCCAGGTCGATCTGGCACATGCCACCTCACTGATACTCCCAGTTCCCACCTGCCCCTTTTCCCAGGACCCCCTGGAGGTGAGCCCACCCCAGTGTGGAGCTGGAGTGGGACATTCCCGGTGCCCTCCGGGACACCCAGGAGGTTGTCTGACCTCCTGCCCTCCAGTGACAACCTCCAGGGAGGTCCTGTTACCGGGAGATAGAGTGCATTCCACGGGCACATTCCACAGCCTCCACGTCTGCTGGGAAGGCCCTGCACCTCCAGGCACCTCCAGCCATGGCGTAGGGCCGTACCTTGGGCCGTTCCCAGCTCCAGGGGCCCATTCCCTGAGCCAGGATGCCGTCCCTGCCGCAGGACTCGCCCGCCGCGGGGTTGGGGACGGGGTTCCCCATGGTGAGGGGTCCCCCCTCCGAGCTCATGGGCTTCTACATCACCTCCTACGAGGTGGCCTTCGGGAAGAGGCCCACGGGGTCGCCCCAAAAGTTGGAGGAGGGGCGCGTTTTGGGGATTGAGCCCCCCGGTGACAGGAGCGTGCACCCCCTCCTCGGCGTCCACACCGGCTCGGGATACGTCACCAACAACTACTCGGCACTGGGATCCCTGATCTCCCCGCACGTGGAGCGGTAGGTCCCTGCTGCAGGAGTCTGGGGGGCATGTTTTGGGATCACTCCATCACAGCCATTCCCACTGCAGCCAGGACACCGACGTGTCCACCACCTCCGAGGACTTCAAGGTCTTCGGGCGCCCGGAATACCAAAGGATGTTGCCCGAGCACGTGCATGAGCCGGAGTGTCGGTGTCCCACTGACTTCTCCTTTTCCCGCCTCCGTTTCGGGGAGGTGAGAGCCCCAAAAGCATCCGGGGAATATGGCACCCAGAGCCACTGCGCCAGTCCTGCCAAGCCAGGTATGATTCCGGGGTCTTGGGAATCCCAGGGAAAGCTCCAGCCTTAGTAGGAGGGTTTTGGGGTGTTGAGATCCCGGTGAAAGCTCCATTCCCAGGAGATTCTGGGGTCTTGGTGATCCCAGAGAAAGCTCTGTCTTTATGAGGATTTTGGGGTGTTAGGATTCCTAGGAAACCTCCAGCTACAGGAGGATTTGGGGCCCTGAGGGTTCCAGGTCCAGCTCTAACATCAGGAAGGTTTTGGGATTATTGATGGTCCCAGAGCCACAGCCAGCTCTAGGGATTTTGGGGTGTCAGTGTTCCTGGAGCCAGGTCAGACCTCAGGAGGTTTTGGGAGTGTTGGAGACCCCCTGCTCCCCCACCAAACACAGTGGGACAGGTGTATCCAGGTAATGCCAGGCCTGGGGACACAGGGGACATCCCTGCTCCATCTGCTCCCCACAGATGTCCCACCGAGGGCGACGGAGCTGTCGGTCTGCACCGGGACCACCCAGAGGAGCGACCTCACCGTGCCAGAGCAGCCCGTGAGCCCCGTGCCCATCATGTCCCCTGTCCCCCCCACCCCTCAGCACCCCAGGACACACTTTTCCTCTCCCACAGCTTGATGTTGGTGATGGTTGGATGGATTCCGTTCCTGCCAAATGCAGCATTGTAAGCAAAGGGACAGGGTGGCAAGGGCAGGGGACATCCTGTCCTGGTGCTCCCAGTGGGCTCTGAGGCAGCTGCCTGGGCATGGGAATGAGCAGGATCATCCCTGTGTTCCCACACAGCCCCAACCTGCCATGGGCCATCCCGCCCCCTTCGCCCCGCCGGAGCTCCAAGTGGGACCCAAGGGAGTCACTACCTGGAAGGTGGGTGCAGCCATGTCCCCTGCCCCCATCCCTTTTCCCAAGGAGCCACGCTCCCAACCCGCTGCATCCCTCAGGAGCCGTTGGCATACAGCACTGTCCACAACCAGTACCTGACCAATCTCTCACCGCTGGCCCCCGTAGCACCAGGTGAGTCTGGGGGGGATCACAGCCCCCAGGAGGAGTGGACACCCCCTTCACCAATCCCACCTGGATTTTCCAGGCTGGTGGGCACAGCCTCCAATCACCTGGGCCCCAAGATCTGTGGAGGGCATCCAGATCCCAAGTCCCAGTGGCTTCAGCACCAACAACCAGCCCACCAACCTGTGGCGCATCGACGACCCCCTGACATGACCCCCCACAAAAAGTGCTGCTGCATCCTGGGAGTCCCATCCTCGGCTTTTCCCAAATCTCCCTAGGAGGAATAAAGACCCTGCGCAATGCCATTGAATAGTTCCCTCATTTTGGGGGTTTCCTGCATCCCAAAAGCTGGCAGGAGGGGTTTGGATGGTTGGGGGCTGTCACCTGGCCAGCTGCCGCTGGAGGGCTGTAGGAGCTCGGCTTTCCAGCTTTCCCAGCCGCCTTTGGGATGACACAGCTGATTTGCGGCAGGAAAATCCAGGCAGGGCTATGGTGGGAAGCAGGAGGATGAGGAGAAGGAAGGACCTCACAGGGTGGGCAGCCATGGCACGGGGGGCACTTGGAGAGGCTTCAGCCATATCTTCCCTGGCCATAGGGAAGGGGATCTGTGCCCTAAGGAGTGGCTCCCGGCAGGGTCCCAGGGGATCTGGGGAATCACAGAGGGATTCTGCACCAGTTAGTTCAAGGACCCCCATCCAGTCAAAGCATCCACACACAGCTCGGGGAGCTGTGGATTCCCACCCAGCCCAGGGACCCCACGCTCAGTTTAGGGCCCCACACCCAGTTCAGGGTGAGGGCGCTGATGCCAAGCTGCTGGAAAAGGGGCTGGGAATGCTGGAGTGCGAGGCAATCCTGCCTGGTTTGGGGACAGAGCCGGGACAAGCGGGACGGGAACGGGACCGGGCAGGCGTGGGAGCGGCGGGGCGGGGCATGAATGGAGCGTGTGGGCGTGGCCTGAATGGGCGCGAACGGCGGGGCGGGGCATGAATGGGTCGGGGGCGTGGCCTCCGCCCCGGTGGCGCGGCTCCCATTGGCCGCGGCGCGTTGCCATGGCCACGGCGTCGCCCTCCCCCCGCCGGGTCCGGTACAGGTCCCGGTGCAGGTCCCGGTGCCGGTCCCGGTGAGCAATGGGCAGCGGCGGCTCCGCGGGGCGCGGGGCCCGGCTGGCGGCAGCCGAGGGCCCCGACGGCGTCGAGCAGCGGCTGGAGGTGCGGGGCCGGCAGGTCCCGGCCGAGCTGTGGGCTCAGCAGGGGCTGCGGAAGCTCTACCTGAGCGACGCGGGGCTGCGGGAGGTCCCGGACGAGCTGGCGGAGCTGCAGCACCTGCGGACCCTCGCTCTGGACGGCAACGAGCTGATGGAGGTGCCCGAGGCCGTGTGCGACCTGCCCCACCTGGCGCACCTGTATCTGGGCCGCAACGGGCTGCAGGGGCTGCCGCCCTCCTTCGCCCAGCTCCAGAGCCTGCGCTGCCTCTGGATCGAGGGAAACTTCTTGGCGCACTTCCCCCGCGCCCTCCTGCAGCTGCCGGAGCTGCGCAGTCTCCAGCTGGGGGACAACCGGCTGTGCCGGCTGCCTGCGGCGCTGCCCCGCATGGCCGGCCTGCGGGGGCTCTGGCTCTACGGGAACCGCTTCCAGGAGTTCCCGCCCGTGCTGCTCCGCATGGATCACATCCGCGTCCTCGACCTGGATCGCAACCGCATCGCCAGCTTCCCGGACCTCACCGGCCTCGCTGCCCTGCGCCTCCTGTCCTACGACCACAATCCCGTCCGGCAGCCGCCCCGCGTCGGGGATGAAGTGCAGCTGGTGGGGGACGGGGCGCAGGAATACATGGAAGCGCGGCAGGAGCGGCTGCAGAGCCTGCAGCGCCAGGAGGAGGAGGAGGAGGAGGGCACCGAGGCCGCCCCGGTATCTCCCGAGGATGGGCCGGAGGATGGGGAGGGGGAATTTGCAGCCCTGACGGGATCTCCTGAGGAAACGTGAGCTGCTGTCCCCCTCAAGGGGTGCAGAGCCTCCATCTATCTTCCAAGAAATTCCCATCTAGGGCTGGGAAAGGAGGAAGTTCACAGCCTCCCCAAAGGAAAAGCCAATGGTCTAAGGATCAGCCTTATCCAGCTGGGGCAGCAGTGTTGTGTCCTGGATCAACAGGGCTCATGGATCCTAATGGTTATCCCACCTGAGAGCATCCCACCTACTCCAGGGTGATCCCCCATTTCCACCCCACAAGAACAGGAACATTTCCACTCCTCCACCTCTGAAAATCCTTTACTCCTGTCCCAACGGGCAGCACAGGAAAAAGCGATGCTGGTTGCATCCATTCCATGGATCCCATCATCCTGGAGAGCTCCGAGGTTTGGGAACAGGGTCACAGACCCTGAGAACCCCATCTTGCTGCTGGAACTGGGCCGGGGGAGAGAATTTTCCACCAGGCTCCTCCTGGCCATCAGGCTTGGGAAGGAACCAATGGAAATTCCACCTGGGTCAATGCACTGCCTGTCTCCAACCTGAACAAGGTTTTGCCTCTGTGGGAAGAGGAGGCCCATCCCTGGCACTGTCTGTTCCAAAACGGACACCAGATCCAGGGTTGACACCTTATCCTTCCTCTTCCTCTCTCCAAGTGCCTCTTGGACCAAACACAAGCAATAAAAAGCACAAATCCAAGGAATTTGTTGTGAGAGAATAGTGGTGGGGACCAGCCTCAGGGAAGGGTTTATTTGGGATCCCCTAAAACCAAATTACCTATCCTGGTGTACAACCACCAGCTCCTCTTATTTTGGACATCCAAGGAATCCTGATTCCCTCCACCCATCCCCGAACTGAGCCAGTGTGGTGGAAAGCTTGGGGATCCGAGGTCTGCAGCTCATTGGAGGTTTCAAACCACACATCCGCTTTTAACGGCCATGGATTTGGGGTTGGGGCTGGGAGGCAGCCAGAGCTCCGGCCACATCCGCTCCGGCACTGGCAGGGCGGGATGCTGCCGGCTTTTCCCTCCGCTTCCTATTCCGCAGCAGGAACCACGGCTATTTTGGACACGTGGAGCTTCCTCAGCCGCGGGATGTGCAGGAGCTGTTAGTGCCAGGGATTTGGGGCTTAGCAGGAGCTTTGAATCAGGTCTTCCCAATAGGTACAGGCTGTCAATCCCTTTTCCCACTCAGGTACCCATCACTGTAGGGCAGAGTATCCCAGGATCCCACAACATCCCAGGAACACGCTCCTGGAATTCTGGGTGTCTCCCATCCCTTCATGCCATTGATCCAGGGTGCTGCTGCTTTATCTGGGAAGACACTGCTGCTAATTAGCAAGGAATTATCCATGATCCCGAGGGTGCTGACCCTGGCAGAGACCCTCAGCATTCCAAAGTCCTGATGTAGGCAAGATCTGATGCCACCAGCTCCATGCCAGCCCACTCGTTCGGCAGGAATTGTGATGCAGGTGGCTCTGGACGCCACCAGCCTGTCCCCATGGCCAGGATCAGATCCAGGAGCTCTGACACCTGGGATAGGGGGGATCCTCCCTCTCTGCAGCCTTTCCTCACCACCCAGCTTTTCCCAAGGAGCCGGGTTGGGATCCAGGCACTGGTGACGATGGTGGTAACACCAGGACCAGGAGCTGCTGCAGTCAGTGGGAATCTGACAGATTCCGGCTCCGCTCGAGTATTTTGGGGCCGCTGGCACCGGCGAGTCCCCGCTGCCGGCAGTGCATCATCCATACGTCTGTCCCTATATATATATCCCTGCCTCCTCTCCCGGCCCCGCGTGCGACGGTTTGTGGCCTCTCTGCAGCTGGGACCACGCTGCTATTTCCATCTGCTCCCGCTGCCTGCCAGCACAAGGCAACGGGACTGGGAATCGCTGCGGATCCGTGCAACAGGAGCGCCGGGATCGCTGCGCTTTCAAGGATCTGGGAGCATGAAAGGAGCCCGGTGTTGATGTAAGAGCCCAGGCAGAGCCAGGATTGGTGGCACCAATGCCATCAGCAGCTTGGGAATGCCAAAATTCCCCAGGTTTGGCTCAGCTGGAGGTGGAGCAGGGATAGGCAGCAGCCCCCTCCTCTCCACCAGGGTGTTGTCCCCTGCTGCCACCTCCAACACTGCGTCCCGGGGCCTGAAGGGTGGATCCAGAGGGATCTTATCCTGGGCAGGGAGGACACGGATGGCCCTCCTGCCATCCCTGTGTCTGGAGTTTCATTTATTTATTCAAGACCAGCATTCTGTGAATTATTTAACAGCCACCAGTGCCTTTTCCATGGCACCAGGACACAGGATATGGTTCCCTGCCTCTTCCTTCCCTTCGGAGCCACATTCCAGTCCCTATCCTGTGCCAAGGAACTCAGCCCAGACCTGGATGGGATGGGAGCTCACTTGGCTCCAAGCAGGCTGCAGGGGTCACTGTTGTTTCTGAAGCCCCCGTGGGGATCCCAGTCCCAGGAGGATCCCAGAGTTTTGTGGGGGATACTCAGTGGTGGATGGGATAATACTGTGGGAATGCTCAGGGTTGGGAGGGATAACGCTGAGGGGGGATGCTTGGAGTTGTGAGGGGGATGCTCAGTGCCGGGGGGATGCCCACCCAACTCAACTGTGGTGCTCACCCATGTGTGGTGCCCCCATTCCCACCCCAGGATCCACCCCCTGCATTCCCCCGATCCCACAGATGACTCATGCTGGCAGTTACTGACTGTCCTTTATTACTGAGAGCAGGGGCTGCCTCCAGAAAACGAGGGGCCCCACTCCCCAAAAATAGGATTCTTCAAAGGAGACGCCTCGACCTGTGTGCCCCATCCCTGGCATCACCAGCCGGGCACCCCCTGCTCCAGCCGCTCCTCAGCTGGGCTGGGCTCTTTATTGGATTTTTCATCTTTTTTTTTTTTTTTTTTTTTTTTTTCCTTTTTTTAAATTTTTTTTGTCCTGTTTTTCTTTATTTTACACACCAGTTGGATGTTACCGTCACATGAAGAAGAGAGAACCTGAACAAGATCACGGCTACGAGCTCTAGAGTTAAAAATGAACACACAAACCCCCGGGGAGCCCGACCGCGGACGAGGAATCCAGCCTGGAAAAGCGGGGTGCCCGAGGGGCTGTGGGGGGCACCCAGCTTGGCACAGCCCTGGCTCTGCCACTTCTTCCCCAGGCATGTAAGTCTCTTCTTTTATGTAAAAAAAAGAGAGAATATGACAAAAATACAAATGTCCCTAAAAGCGTTGTTATTACTGTAATAGCAGTATTATGACTTCTCTCCAGATTGTCCAAAATCGTCTAAATTGGGGCTGTGGGAGCTGCTGGGAGCCAAGGTTGCCACGGGGGGAGCAGGAAGACTGAGGATGATCCGGCGTCTGCCACAGAGAGCCACCACCGACCCCCTTGTCACCCCTGTGGGGCTCCCAGGTGGGTCTGTCCCTGTTTTGGGGGGTCCCAGGGAGTGGGAAGGGGTCTGGCATGTGCATCCCGGGGCTCCGTGGGGATGCTGCTGCTGGCACTGATCCTGCCAGGCTGGCTGTCTCAAGGAATGCCACCAGCCCAGGGAATGTCACCTGTCCTCGATGGGGACAAGAGCTCTCGCTCCGCCCTTTATCCCCAGGGGTGGGCACGGGGCTCCCGGAGCAGCCCCGGCGCCCGGGTCAGCCCGGCTGGAAGGGGACCCTGCGGAGCTCCGCATTCGCCCGAGGGACCCTTTCCAGCCCGAGCTGGGGTGGGGAGGGCAGGGCCGGGGTCCCCGGGGCGGCTTTGGGACCCCCGCTCCCGCCGAAACCCCAGACGGAGGTAAAGCATCGAACCCGGCTGAAGGCAGTGCACGAAGGAGCCCGCTTTGGATAAGGAACTGTGTCATGGCTTCCGATCCCAGGAAAAGGGGCTGTCCCCTCCCCACGGTGTCCCCCGCCCGCCCCGGCAGACTCGAGGGGGGCGCTGGGGGAGGAGGCGGGACAGGGGGGCTCCGTGGCTCCGCTGGCGGCTCCGAGAGGTTTTATGGAGCTGAAAGGGGAGGGAGGAGGGTCCCTCTTGCACCCGCAGCCTGACCTCCTGAAATGAGGGGGGGCGAGGCCGGGGAGGGGCCGAGGGGCTCCGGGAGCGGGGCTGGAAGCACTCGCAGAAGTCCTGCCCGGTGGTGGGAATAGGGATGGGGGGACATCGCTTCTGGCACCTCCCCGGCCGGGGCTGGGGGCAGCTCTGCACCCCAGGGAGAAGGGACCCCGGGGGCTCGGGGGGCTCCGTCCCCGTCCTGCCGCAGGGTTCCCGCGAGCCAGGCCGCTGTCCCGCCGGTCCCTGGCCGGGAGCGCCACGGGAAGGGGTTGGGAGGTGGGAAAGGGGACCCCGAGCCCGCGGTCCGGGAGCGCTCAGGCCTTCAGCTGGTGCCACTGTGCCACCGCCTGCCGCGGCCGGGCGATCATGTCCTTCCAGTGCTTCACCTCGCCGGGACCGCTCTTCCAGGACAGGTAAATCTGCGGGAAACGCATCGCTGGAGCCGCCACGGCCTCCCCATCCCCACCTCCCCATCCCCATCCCGCTGCCCGGCGCTGACGCCTTCACCCCCAAACTGCTCCAGCCCCGCTTTTCCGGGCTCGGCACGGATCCGGGCTATTTTTATCCCTCGATTTTCCATATGGCGCCGCGGAAAAGCGCGTGTGCCAGCTCTCGCTGCTGCTGCTGCCACCTCGGGGAGCCGGTGCCACCGCTCCGGCTCCGCGGATCATCGGCGGAGAGCCGGGATGGAGCAGAGCTCGCTGCTAATTATGCGATCAAAAGTGATTAGCGAGCCTCAGGCCACGGGCGGGGCTTTAACGGAGAGTGGGATATCATGGTCACTGCCTGTCCATCCCTGGAATCGAGCTCTTGGATGTGCCCACACTGGGGACGCCGCCACCTCCGCCCCTGCCCGGCAGCCCGCGGCAATGATCCGGGGATTTATTTAATGGATTTATCCCAACTGCTGTGTTCTCCTGACCCCAGCGCGGCGTTTGGGGATCATGGGCGGAGATTATGGCGCCGATTTGTCATCGTTGTGCTAACGATGAGCTGGGTGATTTCATGGATAATTCTGCGGGAGTAATCCCAGGGGCTGGGATCCATCCCAGTGTGGCTCCCGACGCTCCATCCCTCCAGCCCTGCCTTTCTGGGAGGGCTCTGGCCCTCTATGGCCGTGACACCCAGCGCAAAGGGTCCGCACCACACAGCCCTGGGCCTGGCTGTCCCCAGTTCCCACCCAGGTGTCCCTCAGGCGTGTCACCCACCTTGCCGATGACATCATTGCGGCTCAGCCTGTCCTTGTCCATGACGGTGATGACGATGGTGGTCTCGCGCAGCCGCTCCGTGGGGATGTCGAAGGCGAAGGACTCGTTGAAGACGGGGTTCAGGCACCTCTTCATCACCACCGTCTTCTTCTTCTCCACCCGCTTGTCCTTGTACATCAGCCACACCTTCACGTAGGGATCTGGCGGGAGAGGAGCTGCTCTCAGCCCCAGATGGGAGCCAGGGAATTCCGCCCGGGATCAGGGCCAGCCAGTGCCGTACCTGAGGTGCCCCCGATGTCCATGGCTTTGAGGTTCCGTGCCTTGATGATGTTCACCACGATGGAATTGGCCGAGGGATTGTAGCACAGCGACAGCAGCAGCTCCCCACGGCTTCCCTGTGGGACACACGGGTTCCCTGAGGACACCCATGCCCCCCAGAC